TTGTGAAACTAATTTAAGCTAAATTAATTTGTGGGCCAACATTTTGTTGTTTTCGTTGCTATTCATCATTAACTTAACTCTAGGTTTTTAATAATTATGACTAACATAAAGCGAAGTTCCACAGCATCTATTAGGTTTCATGACGTACAACCAGAGGAAGCTCAAGTACCGCTACTGGTACATGGACCATAGTTTGAAAACAACTGCCTCTGAAGGCCTGTTTAACACTATAAAACAGTATGTTTTTTTCTGTCTGTACAGAAATGTTTGTAAAATGCTTTGCCAATGTGGTAAATATTTAAAATACATTTAACTGAGACAAATGCTTTTTCCTAAATTTATGCTTTTTTGAGTTATAAGTTTAGATGGTTACGGTACGTTATCATTTCTGGTTTATAACAGTGGATTGTGCTGTCGTTATGTTATCAATACCGATAACGAGTGCCGATAATGTTTATATGAAGTCAATATCAGTCCACGTCAATGTAAACACAACGTGTTTCTTCACACTTCACAGACTCGGACATCTGGAAATTTTGGACAAAACTTCAGTTCGAGTCAAACAGCCTACTTTTGTCTCAGTGGACTGTAGGGTGGGAGTGGGGCGGTACTCACGCGTCTGGGTAGGTGGGAGGACATTTGACATGCAGGTCCACAGTCACGTAGCATTCTTGACCGTTGTTGAGCCCGTTGGGCCTCAGACACAGGTACACCTCTGGAGGTCTTTTAACCTAAAAGCCACATGTTTTGATGCAGTCAGGAGTCTGCTGCCAACTTCTTACCCATCATTAGCTAACTAACTAACTAACTTTGAGCGATGCTAACACCTCTTAGCTACCTTCCACGGGTCCTTGTTCCGTAGATCCTGGAAGTCATCTACGAAGATAGAGGCGAGGGCTTCGAGTTCGTTCTCCTGCTGCACCGTGTAGTCGTCTGTCCCATCTGCTGGAGTGACCTGGCCGCTCATTCTCCAGCCGCAGCTACATGGCAGAGCTCCTGTGCTCCGGACGCACTCCCACTCACAGCCGTCCGTTAATCACAAGCAGGAAAAGCCTCTGCTCTCAGCGCCGTCTTCCGCCTCTACGTGTCTCTGTCTCCGCTCTGTCTTCTTCGGCCAAATATGTTTGTTTTTTTTTATTAAACTCGGTAATTACTAATTCATAACATAACACCGACTGAATTATCTTGTTGCTGCTGGCGCGTGGCTGTCGCCAGCGGCCTGTGTCGTGAGTGAAACGTCATCACATTTTGGCGTTCTCACTGATCGCCGCTAGGGGGGAGCATTTCTACTAGAGAAGAAGAGCTCCCGTCTTCAGAAGTGGAACGCAATGAATAATAAAAAAAATACTGTGAAATTACAAATTGGTGTAAAAAAAATGTTTTTATCAAATATTATTTTTAAAAATATTTTAAAAATTTCCAAAAAGAATAAAAGGGATGTTACGTTTCAGTCACATTTTGTCATCATTTTTCCCCCATTTATATGAAGGATGTACCTATAAAAATAAATAATAATTTTAATTTATTCAAATAAATCAATCTATGTACTTGTGCTTTCTAACACAACTTTCTCACTATGTTGTAAATAAGGAACTGGATTGGCTAATCATGATGGCCATGCCATGCTATTATAATATCAGGATATTCAGAATGATACTGGACCCCACATTTGACATGCAGGGAGTGTCTTAGAGCAAGGGTTCCCAACCCCCGGTTCATGGACCGTGCCGGTCCGTATGTCATTTGGTACCAGGTCGCAGTGGGAGACAATGAAAAAACTATTTTTTTTCACTGAAAGATGATCTGTCAATGTTTCAAAACAACAGGTCATTCAGACTCTGATACTGACAGAAAGTCTAAAAGGTGTTTGATTTTGAAAAGTCAATGATCCTCAATTGATGGCGTTGTATTACTGGTCCGCAGTAACGGCTGATACCAGGTCCTTGGTGCAAAAAAGGTTGGGCACCGCTGTCATCCAGGACGATTGTAGCAACATTAGCAACTGTTGTTAACGACCATGAATCGTACATCCTTTTCACACCAATCACAACAACTGTAACCCAAGCGTGTCCAGTCGTCCTTGTAAAACAAATAACCATAAATTCCATGATGTAACCACCTGGCTTCTGTCTGTGGAGGTGGGTTGGGAATACAATAATAAATAGTAGGTGCCGTAATCTGATCTAATCTGGGATGATATACCTCCACCTATCCCACATCTCAGTCATTCCTTCTCACCTGAACAACTGAATCTTTAAAAGCCTGAGCGTTCAGACTACTGATATATTTTCGGTGGAGATAACATTCCATTCAGATATTTTCGGTGGAGATAACATTCCATCCGGTAAATTCCATGTCAAATCCTCGTATCATTCCTGGAGAGATGAGATCATCACCTCAGAAGGTACGGCATACATCAGGCAAAATATGCACTTAAGTGTGTGGCACAAATATGGAGTTCCTCTTTGCAGACCCTCAGCTCAGTGGCTGCACATTAATGACTCGCCTGCTCACCATAGCCCTACAAGGAGACAGCTGGGCCAATCAGGATGTAACGCCACTCAGACAGCTGGATCCCACACAGGGCCCTGCTGGTATTACCATCAGCTGTTCCACACGTCGGGGACGAGGCTCGGCTCACATACCAGCGGCAGGGTTCACAGACTTGTATTATGTTTTCATCTCCTTAACGAGACCCCGGTGATGCTGCCCCCACTGGGTCAACACTGTGGGTCAACACTGTGGTCAGAAGCAGGATGTAAACTCTAAGTGGTCAATCACTACTTTCATGGCTCTGATGCTTTCTTTAATCCAGACGTGTGAGGGTTAAAGTCACCATACGACAGAGTTGTTCCTTGTTTCAAGACATGATGAGAAACTCTAGAAAATGCTACTTTTTAAACATTCTGTAATTGGATACATTATTTAAATAACACTAAATGAGTAAATATTTAATCAGGAATAAAAAACAACGCACCCCCGCTCCACTTCCTGTTTTTCCAAAGCACACTATAAACAGGTACATCTGTCACAGGTTCATCTTTGTTTGATTTTTTTTTTTTACCATTTATATAACATCTTTCAGTCAAATGTTGTTGTTTTTTTTCAGAGTTCCTCTCCATCTATGTAACCCACTGATTGGCTCATGGCTCGTGGATTTTTGCCTGAAGCTCTTATTTGGCGTGGTATGAACTCCTGACCCCGCCCCTGGACCTTATATAAAGGGCTCTCCTCCACCTCAGGCTCTGTCCCAGTGGAAGCATCCCTCTTACCAGTGCACCTTGGTGAGTTCATTTTACTGCTTCTTTCAATTGTACCTTTAATTCTAAGGCAGCCAATCAGACGCTGTGACTTTAAGGAACTGGTAAAATGTCGATCAGTTATGGGGGTTTGTGATGTCATACCAAAAAATTTTCTTTTTTCAGTTTTAACTTCCTGTGAATTCTTTTGTGAGTTGTTATTAGGGACGTCCGATAATATCGGCCGACCTATATTATTGTGTGATATCTGTAAGAATCGGTATCAGTATCGTCATGTCTGGGTTTCACCAAATTGTGTGCCTTAAAAATAGTTTTGGGGATAAACGGCTGTATATTAAAGCGAAAGTCACTAGATGGCAGTAATTAATCATTAGGGGATTGAATGTAGAATTCTGGTAAATAAATAAATAATCCCAGGCCTATATCGGTGTCGGTTGATATTGGAATTGGAAATAAAGTGCTTGGACAATATCGGCATATTGGATATCGGCAAATTTAATATTGGACATTCCTACTTGTTATGGTATCAAACTTGTCATGGTGATGGTAGGGTTAGGGTTAGGGTTAGGGTTAGGACTGTAGTCAATGTTGAGGTACTGTAAGGTCCAATGGAAATAAACCAACAGATCAACACGTGTCCAGAACACTCAGCATGATACAGTGAGCTGGTTATGCAAAATCTGGTCTTCTTCTTGTTCTGTTGTTGAATGAAGTCGGAAGGCATGAGATTTACTGTAGAACCAGTGTCAGAATGGCTCAAACTTCACTGAGACCTGAAATAGCAGGAGATCCACGCGTCAGTTGTTTCACCCTTTCTAAGCACCATGGAGTGTCGAAGCCCAAAATAGTTCCCAGGTCTCTGAGTGTTATTCCCCTTTTTGGTGCTACTTCAGCAGCTCTGCACTGTCCTCGGAACAATCCACTAGATATGGTATCAGTGGTTCTTCAACAAGGTTGGGACCGAAATAGAACCCAAACGCATGTCTAATTAGCGCTGTGTAGATAACGAGCCCAGTGTGATTGGAGCAGGATTTGAAAGTGATAACACCGTAAGGAATGGTGCTGACAGGCCTTCAAAGACACACTGGATTACAGCTAATGCTTCCAACGATATGACTGATTGGTTCATTATGTCACTC